GTTGGTGTGTTTGTGTGTGTCCGTCCTCCATCTAATTCTACAAGCCAGTTAATTTTTGCTGAAAACTAGAAATGTTCTTAGCTGGTACGCTTTTATGACACAAGCCCCTTGTGCCACTGGGCCTCATTTATCTGACTTTTTAAAAGAAAAGTTTTTCTATGCTTTCTTAATTCTGCTTATAGTTTGCCTTCCTGGTTCCTCTTCTGTTTTGGCATGCTATTGATTGCAAGGGATAACTGCACCTGTTTCTAGAGACAAGTCGGGAGGATGTCAAATAAGGTTTGGGACTCTTAATCCCTTAAGGACCTTTCGCTGCCAAGGCCGCCTTTCTTTTTGCACATGTTATAATCCACATTTTTGGGCCTGAAAATCAATTCAAACCCCCCAAACATTATATATTTTCTGAAAGCCAAGACCCTGTAGAATTAAATGGCCGCAGTTGCAAATTTGTATGTTGCACGATATTAGTGCAACTTGTTATCAAACCCAAACATTTAGGGAGAAATGCACTTAAGGTAAATTTAGTGCCCCGAAACACAATACCCATATTTTTGTAAAATATAAAATGAGGTTACGACGAGTACATGGATACCCAAAATGCCCAGGTTAAAAATTGTGTGCGTCTGTGAAATGGCGACAAAATTCTTTATTTACGAGCCCCTACAGGTCATCAGTTTAGAGATGTGCGTAAATATTGGCCCTAGAATTATTGCTCTCTCTGGCCTGCGCGGCAAAACCCAATGTGTTCGGCGCTTTTTGTACATAGGTGCACCCGACGTGTGTTTTACATGAATACGAGCTCGCTCGTAGGGGCAATTTTTATTTTATTTGTTAATAGCGGTCATCAGCGGCTTGTGAGCCGCTGATGACAGCTATTAGTTTAAAGGGGACAGTCCGAGGAACAGTTCTACTATAAAAGTTCATGGTCGCTAAAGCGACCATGAGCTTGTAGCAGAACTGTAAATGCCACCGACGTAAGGCATACTCACCTGGCCAGCTGGGAACAGTTTTGTTCAGTCATATGCCTTACGGCGGTGGCAGGGAAAGGGTTGAAATGTGTTTTTGGAAGCTGTTATTAACCACCTTCCGTCCATGGCCGTTTGTGAACGGCCGGCCGGCCGGACGTCTGCTAGGAGCGGGAGGGCGTCTTAAGACGTCCTGCCCCTCCCCCTCTCGTGTGCGGCACTCAGCGCGCACACGAGAGGGAAAACTGTGAGCATGTAAACAGCCAGCGATGGCTGTTTACATACAAGCGATCAGGCGTCTCTAGAGACGCCCGATCGCTTGCAGGAGCTGCGGGTGTGCGGCCCCCCCCCCCCCCCGTACCTATGTCCCGCCGTCTCCTCGTCGCCGCTGCCGGTCCGTGATCCGATGTGGCCGGTGCGGCTGGGACCGGCACGGCGACGCTCTAACAGCAGATCAAAGGGAGATCATTACTCGATTTCCCTTTTGATCTCTCTTCCTGTCCACGACTGCAGGAAGTGATGTATATTACATCACTTCCTGCATTCAGTGTCACTCTCCGGTGCAGAACACCGGAGAGAAGCTGATGAAGCAGAGATCTGCTTCATCAGCTTCTGTGGGGGTCCCTAGGTGACATCAGAGGTCTTGGAGACCCCTGATGTCTCCATAAAGAGGACCTGTTTGGTGAACTGGCTATTACATAGGGGATTTCTTAATCCCCTATGTTATAGCAATAAAGTTGTCTAAAAAAAGATTAAAAAAAAATAAAATTACAGCATTAAAAAAAATAAAGAAGCTAAAAAAAATATTCACAAATAATAATTTAAAAAAATTACACATGTTTTAAAGTTCCCCGCCCCCCCACATACACATGCAAACATGCGTCGGGTGCGCCTATGTACGAAAACGATGATTGCGCCCATTATGCAGCACATGTTACATATCGCCGCGAACGTCGGAGTGAGACCAATAATTTTAGGGCCATCAATCACTGATAACACTAAACTGATGAGCGGTAAAAACGTTTAAAGTGTCGCCTATGGCCAATTTTGGTTGCGGTCGTTTTCTGCGATTTCGGGGGTGCCCGCAATGTTAAAGGTTGACATATTTAGTGTCTATTTACCCGATGTGACCCCGTCTTTTATATTATACCAAAAAATTGGGGTGAAAATAAATGTTTCATAACATTTTATAGGGAAACATGTTTTTTTTACAAAATTTAGGGTACTTTTTTTTGTTATATAGTAAAAAATAAAAACCCCAGCGGTGATTAAATACCACCAAAAGAAAGCTCTATCTGTCCCCAAAAAATGGTATAAAATTCATTTCAGTACAGCGTTGCATGACGGAATAAACGTCAGTCAAAGTACCGCAGCGCTGAACACTGAAAAATGGCCTGGCCAGGAAGGGGGTGAAACACCGCGGTCTTCAAGTGGTTAAGGTATTTCTGTTCGTTAAGTTAGTCTTCGCTGTCTAAATGATATAGGACCAAACGCATCCCTACATGTCCTTGCCCAAAAAGACATTTGAAGAAATTTTTTTTTTTAATGTGAAGTAGTCCATGTAAGAACAAGGCTAATATAACCATAGTCCATACAGGATGGCAATTGATTACAGGACTGGAGTTTTGTGACATCCTATTAGTGGAATGTTTAACAATGCTGAACAGTTAAAGCCCGACTCCATCAAATTTGGGGTAAAGCTAAAAGCAGCCACCGCTCCAAGCTCCCTCCGGTGATGGACTACAATCTCAATACAAATTAGTAAACTAAACATGAGACTGTAGTCCATCACAGGAGCGAGCTTGGAGCCATGACTACTTTACAACACACAGGGATCATGGGGAAGCAAAGTAGCCACCCTCCTAAAGAAAGGACAGTGTCGGCACCAATTCAGAGATGATTTGAGGATCTACAGCTGAGTGATACACAAATAAGATACATTTTTGTTAAAAGGGTACTTGAATGTATTTTTAAGATTTAATTCCTTGGTTTAGTGTCACTTTAATGAGGCCTCATTATTGGGCTTTCAATTTGTCCATAGTCATGTACTATGCTGTCATCGGTACAATTATCATCTAATCATTGCTGATCTAATGAGCTTCAGCATTGCAAATTGTTTTTATTTTCATACACAGATCATTTTTGACTCCTTAGTTAAGTATGGGCATCTTAACAGCTTGTGTGCATTTAGAGATTGTAGTTGCCAGTAACCCAGTTCTGCATGTAAATTTGGCTTTTCCACTTAAAAAATAAATAAATTTCAGATTTGTTTCCACAGTTTTTACAGTGAATTTGATTTTTGTAACCAAGTGCATTGTACAGTATGTACTATGTGTATCATTCACAAAGCTTCTCTACCCATCTGCAAATTCTTTAAAAAAATGTTTTAAAAGACAAGTCTTGGTTAAGTGTTTGTCTTTTAAAATACATATCAGCGGTCTTTAAAAAAAGTTTGTTAATGTTGAGTTATTTTGTTACTGTATTGCGGTTTGCTATGTTGGTTGCCCAGCCATTTATACAGCCAATAAAAAAGTGAAGTGTTGTTAAAAATGATTTTATTTTATGTATTATTTTGTAGTTCAGGACTAATTGAATCTGTTTTTTGCAAGATTGCTTGGTTAGAAGAAAAACTTGCAGTTGTGTAGACATCCACCCTTGCAGAATTCAAGTTTTAATTAATTAATTTTTTTTAAAGAATGAATCAGTGCACTTATTTAATTACGCTTCTCGGAAAAAGCTAATGTTGACCTTCAGTGGATAATTCATTATGTGACGCTGTAATATGTTAATACTGAGTTTTGGTATTTTGATAGGCTCTTGTGTAATATTCAAACAGCTGAGTGCAAGTAAGTAACACCTAGTGGGTCCATATGGCATTACTGAGTGGGGAAAAAAGCTGAGCTGCTAAAAGCTGCCATTCCTAGGTGCTGAGCCTTGTACACTATGCAGATTTCCGTTTGTGAGCATCCCTGCAGGCAGATATTACTGAATGAACAGTGATCTTGTATTGTCACAGTAAAGTGCCTTTTACCATCACACTGTAAGAACATACAGTTCAGGCTCATCTGAATGCTTAACATATGCTTTGACTTGGTTTGCACAGGCAGTAATTGACACACTATAGGAGCATGCAATTGCATGTTTGAAAGTATAATTTTGGATATGTGTAAGATGATTGTGTATCCTCCCTTCTTTTTTTTTTTTTTGTTTTGTTCCCGTTTTGCAAATCAAAGAACTCTACCAGTAGTACTGAAATCATGACTGCATTTTCTGTTTTTCTTTTTCTTATTAGGAGATGTCAGAGTCAGAAGCAGAGCCGGCTTTGAATCTGAAAGACGAGGCTCTCACCCTTACATTGATTTTCGTATTTTGCACTGTAAGTCAATGGAGAAACTCATTAATGCACTTTCTTTCTGCTACTGGGTGTCAGTGTTGGACTTATTTTGCTTCTATGTGAAGTTTGCCTGTTTTTTTTTATCTGCGACCATATGACCAAATTTAAATAAATAATAAAAAAATGCCATTACAGGTTTTACAGCATCCTGACACATATGAGTCATACGCACCACAAATATAATTTGATATTGTTCATTACCGTAAAATAAAAGTGGCCCACTATTCAGAGTTTTAACATAACGATCAGCGTGTTGAGATGCAGATTTTTTTTTTCCCCCAGTACTTCTGCTGGCAATGCATTAATCAGCTTTTTGCTTTAGAAGCCTGGCGCCATCTTTTTTTAGACATCATGCAGGGTGAGGAGATTACACATTCATATGGTACATGTGCATAACCAACATGTATTTACACATGTTAGATCACACATAATTCACTTCTCATGCCTTGTGACTTGCTATAAAGTTACAATAGAACAGTCTGCTCACTAGAAGAGAATGAGTAATTGTTCTGCCTGTCTGTAGCAGTGTAGCAATCACTTAATTGTGCCATTTTTATTCTAATCTCCTACCGCAGTCTTTTGATCGGGAACTAAAGCTCCACTTTTTAATGATATTAATCCGTAGTATTCTATAACTGAATCAGTGTTTTTTTTTTTTTCTTCCCATCCATATCTTGCACCCAAAAAAAGTTGAATATTTATTACATATAAAAACAACAAAAATGGCTCTTGGAACCTTCAGAAACGAAGGTGTGACCTCCAGTTGGGGTGTGAAGCTCAATGCAGAATGTCATCTGTCAAAAACAGGTGACAGGACAGTCCCTCTACCTTTTACAGAGAGACACCTGTAGACTGTTTTTATAAGAATAATTTGGAAATGTATTAAAGCCAACATGCCAAATTAAACAAAATTGAAGATCCTTAGAAAGTAACCGCTTTTATATTCACCTATCTGGGGCCTGTGTTTTCTACTTTCCCTCGATTCCAGTGCTGTTACCGATAGCGACAATTTTTAAGTTGCCTAGAACAAACAGTACATCTATCTATTGTGAAATATAATATCACCTCTTACCATTTACTTAAAGGAGAACTGTGGGGTTAGGGCTTTTCCCCATAGTTCTCCTTAGGGTAACGAGAGGACACAAACTAGCGTCCTCCCGCCACCCTAAGCTCAGTATACCGCGAGCTACAGCTCGCAGTATACTGAGACGCCGCAGCTGAAGCGGATCCGGATCAGGATCCTCCTGAAGCGGATCCTGATCTAGAGGTCTCTTTGGTGAAGGCCTTTGTAAAGATTCCAGGCTACTCTGAGCAGTTCAAGAGCAGAACTATAGTGTGTCTGACTGAGGATCAGACTGAGTTTCCTTTCATTAATAAACAAGGGTTTAACCCTTTTGTTAGGACAGACAGTGATCAGATCTAGTTTACAACCTGCCAGCACAGTACAGACCGGGTTAATTACAGTAAACAGTAGCCTCCCCCTCCAGCCTCCTCCTTAACAATACATAGGGGGAAGCTGGGTAGGATTTTTAAGCAAGCAAAAAGTAATTAAAGTGGTAGGCAGCAATTTGTTTGTTTTTTTTGGTTTTTTTTTACATTTCTTCAATGTGGAGCATGTAACAATTATATAGTAGATGCTATCCCAATTTTGGCTTCAAAAGTGGAACTATACTTTAAAGTTATTGGCTTCTAACAAGAAAGTGGAAGGTTTTTTTAAACTTTGTTTTTTAATCTTCTAATCAAAAGATGTATGCTTGTTTAACCTTTTCCTGTTTTCAATCTACAGCACATTCGGAAATTGAAATCTCCCTGTCTGCAAGAAACATACGGAGGTTGTTAAGTTTTCAGCGGTACCTAAGGTCCTCGCGATTCTTCCGTGGTGTCACTCCACAGAATTCACTGTACATATTGGACGATGATTACAATGGACAAGCCAAGGTTTGTATGGTTTGTGTGTTTTAAAAAAATATTTTATCCTCATTCCAAAATGCACTATTTTTATAAATGCACAACTGTTGGCATTGCAACAGTAGCATCTTGGCCCCATTCACACTAGTCACGTGCATGCGAGTTCATGCATTGTTCGAAAAGTATATGTTGTGTTTGTGGTGCAATTATTTGTTTCCCCAAATGCAGCAAGCATGGCACTTGTCTTGGTGCACACATGCATGCATTAATGCGAGAGAAAACGTGCAATTAAAAACCATGCAAAGCTCACACCTCCAACTGTTGCATGAGCTTCTTTGCCATGTGTAGTACAGCCCATTAAAATGAATGGGCTGGCTGATTCTGATGCACAACGTTGCCTGGCACGTGTGTATGTGTGTATGTGTGTATGTATGTATGTATGTATATATATATGTATGTATGTATGTATGTATGTATGTATGTATGTATATATATATGTGTACTTTGCGAAGAAAATTTTTGCAATTACAAATGTTTAGACATTCTCCTGTTTATTTCTTCTGTTTGTATTGGTATGACACAAAAAAGTGGAGATAAAAAAAGCCAAATCTGACATTCCACGCAAATCTCCAAAAATGGACTGGACAACATTATTGGCACCTTCTCCAAATTGCAAGAAATGATTGCATTACAAGTTTTTGTGGCAAAGCATGGACAATCTCAAGGTTACAAGTCCATCTCCAGAGATTTTAATGTTCCTGTGCCCACTATGCGCAACTTTACAGCCCATGGCACTGTAGCTTATCTCCCTGGACTTGGACAAAAGAGAACAATTGATCAAAGATTGCAACGAAGGATTGTTCGAATGGTGGATAAAGACCCTCAATCAACTTCCAGACAAATTCAAGCTGACCTTCAGGCACAGAGCACAACGGAGTCAGCTCACACTATACAAATACTTTTCTTTGTTGCACTCCTTACCGAAAGTCCCTTGTAATGGGGGGGGGGGGGGGATTTGGGATAGCAAAATGTTCATTTATTTGAAGTTCCTTGCCATATAAAGAAGCGCTTCTGGGGCCAAAACGCTTGTTTATAACATTTTGCTATCCCAAAAGGTGTTCTGGTGACATTTCTACATTTAGCTCGCACTATACGTCGCCATCTGAATGAAAAGGGATGCTATGGTAGGAGAACCCCACTGCTGATACAGAATCGTATAAAAGCCAGATCAGAGTTTGCCAAAATGCTTTTGGGAGAAAATGCTGTGGACAGGCGAATCAAAATTACAGATTTTTGGTAAAGCCCATCATTCTACTGTCTTCAGAAAAAGAAATGAGGCCTTTAACCTCATTCACGACTAACGACGTACAGTGTACGTCGCTAGCATCGGGGCTGTTTAAACAGACTCCCGGTGGCAGAAGCCGACTGTCGGCTTTACAATAGAAGCGATTCTGGCGACTCAGCTGTCGCCAGATGCGTCTACGGCCCGGTGAAGGGGTCCCCCGCCCGATACCCCCGCCATGCTTCCCGGGCTCCGTTGCCCCTCCTACGGGCCCTGGACCGCCTTCTCTGGTGTCGGCAGGGAGCTGGGGAGGAGTTGGACGACCCTCCATTCGTTCTATGGAATCGGGAGCGATGCAGATTGCATTACTTCCTGTCCCATAGTCGTCAGGCTGGGTTTACACCTAGGCGTACGGAATATGCGTGTTTGCCACGCTAGGAACGCGCTGTAAAACGCCCAGGTGTGAACCAGGCCTCAGTGTTGGGCTCCTGAAGCCCAGCTATAAGCTATTGAAGTGCGATCTGCACTTCAATAGCTTATTTGGAGTGTAAAGGTGACACTGGGGGTCTTTTAGACCACCATCATCACCTTTTAAAGAGTACCTGTCACCACCATCTGCTATTACATGGGGGGCTTGTAAGCCCCCCTATGTGATAGCAATTAAAGTTTAAAAAAAATAAAATAACAGTTTTTAAAATTTAACATTACATTAAAAAAAAGAAAAAAAATGTTTTAAAGTCCCGCGAGCACGCACGTCGCCACGCAAACACTTGTCGGGTGCGCCTATGTATGAAAACGACGAACGCGCTACACATGTTGGGTATCGCCGTGCACGCCGGAGTGAGAGCAATAATTCTAGGGCCAGTATTTTTTGAGTATCTCTAAATTGATGACCTGTGGGGGCGTTTAAAGCGTCGTCTATGGACTTTTTGGTGTACTGAAGTATGCCGCCGTTTCATTGGCGCACACAATTTTTAATCTGGGTATGTTGAGTATCTATTTACTCATTGTGACCTCATCTTTTATATTTGGACTGCAAGCAGTGAGTCCAGATCTGAATCCCATAGAGCACCTGGGGAGAGATCTCAAAACAGCAGTCGGGGAAAAGATTCCTTCCAATCTGAGAGACCTGGAGCAGTCGGCGAAAGAAGAGTGGTCCAAAATGCATGTAGAGAGGTGTAGGAAACTCATCGATGGTTACAGGAAGCCATTGATTTCAGTTATTTTTTCCAAGGGTTGTGCTACCAAATATTAATTGTGGGTGCCAATAATTTTTGTCCAGTTCGTTTTTGGAGATTTGCGTGGAACGTCAGATTTGTCTTCTTTTTTTTTTCCTCTACATTTTTGTGTCATACCAACACAAACAAAAGAAATAAACATGAGAATGCCGAAACATTTGTAATTGCAAAATTTTTCTGCGCAAAGTGGTGCATTATCTGACAGAAATGCAGGGGTGCCAATATTTTTGGCCATTAGTGCGTGCGCGCTCCATGCTCCCCCCATCTGACCGACAGTGCAGAGGGAGCATGGAGCCGGCTTCCTTTCTAATCAGGAATTTGGGCGGTGGGTTATGACCCGGCTTCCTGATTAGTTAGGAAGCCAGGCTGCCTAGCAACAAGGGAAGCCAGGCTGCCTAGCCAATCAAGTAGGTGGGTCATGATGTGCCTCCCAGCTTCCTGACCAATCATAACACAGTGCTGCACTTTTTCTTAAACAAGGTAATCTGTAAGCATAAGCTACATGTCACAGAGCTAGAACAATGAGTTTTCTTACTTTTTTATTTTCTCTTATTTTCTTCAGTGTATGCTGGAAAAAGTCGGAAACTGGAATTTCGATATATTTCTTTTTGATAGATTGACTAATGGTAAGATATTCCTGTTTCTTATTTGGTATTGTATTTGCTGTTCTGATGTCTGTTGTTCTTGGGAGCTTTAAAAAGGTGCTTAAAGGGTAACTGTGGCAAATCAAAATACTCCAACCTGCATGTTGCCTCAGCCTAGTTTTTGAGTTTTCACTTGTTTGCTTTGTGACAGAATCTCTTTAAAGCGCCTGCTCTTTTTTAGTGTGTACACAGGAACTGCCTAACAAATAGATGTGAGTAGATGGTTAGTTCAGGAGAGAAAGTGTTTCCTTTTTCTTCATACCAGTCAAAAAGGAAGTAAGGGAATCTGGGGGAGAATTAGACAACCTAATTTTCCCAGTGTCATGCACTCCTTCCATTAAATTAAATCTGAGGCTGCCATTGCTGACTTTCTTCCTAAAATGTTAGTTTTCTGGCTTCATCACTTTCTGAGACGCTGAAGTCAATGCCCCTAATCCGCATTGTTGCTCTCAAAGACAGAGAGTCTGAGCTTACTGAAACCGTGGGATCAGAGTGACATTTTCTAATATTTACAGAGTATACTGCCATTTTGTCCTTTAAATTGAATTTGGCATGTTGGCTACACCACAGTGTTATAGTGGAACTGGGGATTGTGCAAAATAATTCTTCTTTATGGTTAATTAATTCTTAAAAATTTGTATTATACTGCCACCTTCAGGTGGTTTAGGCACTAGCAAACCTAAACACGTTAATCCGGCCCTGTATAACCCTGCCTCCAGCTGGCATCCCTCAGATATTTTGCTAATATCCTGGGACATCTTTTCCTCAGTGGGTTTTTTTTTTGGATGACTGCAATTAATACTTCAAAACATGCTGCTTGAGCTAGTCTATTCAAAGCAGCTAAACTGATCAATGTATTCTCCGCAACAGCTTTGGAAGCTGTATATTGACCCCACTGGACTGAAAAATTGTGGGGTTAACCTGGAATGTGTTCTTCGGGCACCGGGCTCTGCATTGTGGCCCTTTTCAGACCTCTGTGTAAGATGTCAGCCACAGAACATTCTCAAAGTTTTTAGAGTTTATGGCACAGCTTCTGGTGTCACCAAGTCTCTGAAGACTCAGTGAGCAGTGAGAATGCCTCTGGTTGTGTTGAAGCTAACCTGGAATGTGTCCTTTGCGCACTGGGTTCTGCACAGTGGTGCTTTCAAGAACTCTGGGAACTGTGTTAGCTGCAGAGTGTTCTCCAGGTCCAGAGCACTGTGGCACAGACTCTGGTGTGACCCAGTCATCAAGAGCTGAAAGGTTGGCTGGGCTGAAGCCCTGGGAGCTTCTTGCACAGTTGGTTCTGTTGGGCACCATTTTCTAAGACATTTCTTCCACCATCATCTTATAGCTGTACCTGTTAAGGCTGAGGGAACTGAGCAATGATGCCATCTACTAGCTGGAGAGTTGTGCACATGCCCTCTGCATGCTTTCTCCTGTCATCCCACTTGGCAGCTCTTCCTGGCTGCTACCATTTGGAAGCATGTGAATCAACAGTTTCTACTGTCTTACTCCACTGCCCGCCTACAGTGACTTGTTCACCTCCAGCTTTCTACAACCCTCTTCAGCATCAGCTACTTGCTGTTGAGTACATGAAGCTTTGACTCACTTTGAGCCTAGGGGTTTTGTCTGTTATGCAGTGCAACATCTTTTTTTTTTTACTGACACACAGAGGACAGTCCAATTGGTAGCTCAGCCCATAATTCTCCATCATTACTAGGGACAATTTCTCTATCTCCAGAAAGGACCTGCGTCCGCGGCTAGTCTTCCTCATCCGAGTATTGTATAGCTCCACAGCGTGAGGCCAAGACCTCCTATATGTCAACAATATCCGATTTGGATTTTGTGCACAATGAATGCAGCAATCTGCTCACAGAAGTTCTTGGCTTGCTTTAATGCCATCCTTACCAGAGTCCTGGGCTGACGTTACTGGATCACCACCTTATATGTGTGCCTGGGGCTCCTATTTCCATCCCAGATCCCCCACAGAATTCTCCAAAAGAGCCTGTATTTCAGTAGGTTCCTTATGACTCAGATTTACAAGGAGTTCTTGATAATCCGATGTAATGCATTCTATTCTATAGTTGCAGGATCAGCCTGTTCCAGGCATGGGTACTTTTTAGAGCTATTACAGCTGCAAAGACCTTTCCATCCTCTATGAGGATTGAAAACAATCTGTGGAATCATGGCTTTCTCCTTTAGACTCTTGAAGTTCCTCCTAAACCAAGAGATTGTTGGGGAACTTTATTTCACATAGCGCTCCTGCTCATCCTGTTCTCTGCACTTTGCAATTCTCCTCCTCATTCAGGGAATCTGAAATTTGGGCAACACACAAAACTGGCCCTTCGAAACAGCAAGTCCCACTAACTATCTTCCGGATTCCGGTCACCGCAGGAATGATCCATTTTCTCCCTTCATTCATCATGGATGGTTCTTCTAATGGACGTATCCACTTCCTTATTCTTAAGTCTGGTTAAGTCTGGTTCCTTATTTCTTGAGTTTGGTGCTGAAGAACAAGCAGTTTCCCAAGTTGTTGGGGGACCTATCAGTTGGTCAGTCTCTGTTGGCTGGCTTAATGGTTTTTGTTTGCCAATGTTTAATCCTCCTAACAATGGCAGTAAAACCAAAATGTCTAAGAATCTCTACATTCCTGTGTCCCTCCATGGAGTTCAAGAAAATATTTTATGGTACCGTACAAAAATATTACTTTGCTTCATAAATACCGACATTGCAGAGTAAATGGACATGGAAAGCGTGTGATTTGGCTGCTTTCTGTTTAAAGGGAATCTTTTTGGATAGCAATGTAGCAGGGAGCAGCCTTAACTTGTTAAAGGTATGCGAATTAAGGTCATCATCCTGATCTTGGCTTTGCTTCCTTGTAAATCAATAACCTTAAACAAGCATGTGGTTGTCCCTGCATCTGATATACTTATGCTGGTTCCAGGTTAGTGAAGCTTTAAAGAAGAAGGATGACCGTTCTGGAGCATATACCTGTGAAAAATATGTTGGCTGCATTTCTTTCCACACAGGTTCCTTTTTAAACCAGCCAACCAACATTCATCATAGCCTCACCCAGAATAAATTGAATATAACAGGTTGACATGATTAGCAGGTCAGGGAAGCCCCTTTAAAACCTGTTAATTTATTTAGTTGGTGAATTGTTTGGTTTATGAATGCACATTTGTTGGTAAATAGCCTCTGCATTTTAGAACTTAAAAAATGGCTCTGAGTTTGTGGGATTCAGTGAGATCCACTGTGCCAACTTTATTTTCTAGAGCTTTGCAGGTCTTGTGTAAAGTTATAATGAGTTAATCCCCTTATAAATCACCATATGTGTTTTTGATTTCAGGAAACAGTCTCGTCACCTTAACCTTTCATCTCTTGAATCATCATGGTCTAATCGATCACTTCCAATTGGACATGGTGAAACTGCGGAGATTTTTAGGTAGGACATAAGCCTCACCGTTATTCCATATGTATCTTTTGCTTTTGATTACAGTATTCTTTCTTTGTGTATGAACACTGAGGTTTCCTTTAGTGCATTCAGTTAGATTATTGTTTAACCCTTTCCCTGCCACCGACATAAGGCTTATGGCGGAACACAACCACTTCCAGCTGACCAGCTCAGCAAACCTTAAGTCGGTGGCTTTCTCTCTTCTGCTATAAGCTCATGGTTGTTTTACCAGAACATAATGATTCCCCTGACAGTCCCCTTTAAATTAATAGCTGTCATCAGCAGTAGAAAGCCACTGATGACGGCTATTGACAAAAATTCAGGGCGGCGGAGATCCAGGAAAAAATAAATTGCTGAAGTGGGCGGAGGAGGGAGCTGCTGTATTCAGGATGACCTAGTGGGGAGGAGAGCGGAAACGCTGTCATCCTGTCTATTTCGTATATCTGATATTTATCGATCCTCTGTGTACAGCACAAACACTGGAGTGATCAGCTGATCACTCCAATGTTGTAAACAACTGGGGACACACTGTACTATGTGTCCCCAGTTATGAATGAACAGGAAGTGCTGTATATTCCTGTTCATTCATGAATTTCTGAATGGGTAGTAGCACTCACTATAGAGGCTCCTGTCCATTCATAACTGGATGACAGTACAATGTTTACCATCACCAGTTTCTGAATGAATGGAAAGCCTCTGTACTGAGTACTTTCCATTCATTTACAACAGAGGCTTCAGAAAAAGAGATTGACGACTCAATATTTGTCCTGAAATTTTTTTTTTTTTCTAAATG